CAAAAGAGTTCAAGTCTATAATGACCCACCTGAAGGTGCTCGCAACTTTTCACATAAGGATGCAAACTCCAAAAGTCATGGGGTAGGAAAGAGCTACCTCATGCATTCATTCATTCATTTATTCAAACAAATTCCACTATTCACTATGCATGGCCCCATTTTGAAATCTAAAGCTCAAAACTGATAGAGGACACACAGGCAAAACTAGTCCATAGAGGTAAGTATTTCACCAAATAATTCTTAATCGGGAAGAGGGTTAATTTCTCCCAATATTCTACCCATGGGGCACAACAAAAAGATTCTCGTGTGTTTACTTTAAACTATGTTTGGCATGTATGCTTTCTAGGATAAAATAGTTTATCTGGATTTGCAAAATCATTTCCTGTCGTTCCAAGATCAAGCACCATCTTGACTGTAAACATGTGCTCTTCTGTCTGCCCAAGCAGCTTAGAGGGCACCAATTCAGGTTTCCCTTCCGATCGTGACCAGGAAGAGGCCCAATAAATATTTCAAACATAAAAGGATTGTTATAACAAAGGGGTCTTAAAATCCTCCTGGGTTATCTGAACAGCTTTCCGTTTCATTTTGTTTTCTCCTCCACCTCCTCCCCCTTGAAATTGGAAGAGATTTTTTTTCTCAGGATGAAACAAAAGTTTAAGCACAAGATGAGTTGAGATAAGAAAAGAAACTGAACAACAATCACAACTCCAAAAGGGGGGACTTTCATAAGTGAACGCATAGATATTAAAGAGAGAAAAAAGCTATGTCAAGAAGACAATCTGACCACAGGCCAGCCTTGGTAATCCCCATTCAGGATACAAACCCTGATAGCAAGCCATTCCTGCCTCAATGACAACTTCATGTATCTGTGTTATAAACACAAGCCTATCAGAGCAAGTATTACACACACCTTACTGGGACATGGCAAATGGTGCCTGGCGTCCAAGATAAGCTTTATGGAGAGTGAAGAGGAAGGGTGAAGAGAAGTAGGTGAAAGGCCTGGGCGAAAAAAAACAACACTTTCCTTAATCCTTTGATGTCACCAAAGTGATCAGTGATGAAAGAAGCATCATTGGTTCTTCCCCCACCCCCTTGAAACTAGAGGTTAAATACCATCCAAGATGGCTCTCTTGAAGGGGATGACTTTCTGTGAGCCTTAACCCAAAATCCAAAGCAAACAACAACAGCTGTGTTGGCTGGGCATAAGTGCAAAGCATTTCTCCAGTTTTATTTCGTCAAGGTCATTCACACAAGTGTCTTTCTGAACTATTTCTAAGAGACGTTATACCTTTAATTTTATACAGCTTAAAGAAGGGAAGTGAGAATCCTCTGGAAATGATTACAGAGGACTGAGAGCCCAAGATAATTTATAAGAGGCTTAAATTTACAAAAAATTGAAAGTTGACTGTGGAGTATTTAGCCAAATAGGGAAAATAGTGCCTGCTTCAAAAGAAACAAATTACAGTACAACAAAAGCACCTGGACAATTAATAGAGCCAAAAGTATTATGCAACAACTTTGAGCTCAGTTTTATGAAGATACTAACTGGAGAGACCTAAAAACAAGCAATATAACCTCACTCTAAGGACTGTTTTTTCATGTTGGATTAATATCTATGCTGCACATTTAGGTGATATGAGGCAGAATTTGATTATAGTTTTAAAACTATGTGGAAACCATACATGCGATTGGACTTCCAAGAAGAGAATACAGTTCTGTGTATCTAAATATAATGAGATTATAATGAAAAAATCAAGTTACAGGGTCAGGCCTTTAGATCTATAAATTACTCTAGTTAAATTATACATCCTTTTCTTGAAATACCACTTTGGACTTTTCCCTTCTCTATTACATAGTGTTTGGGAAAGGAACTCTCCTTAAGAGAGTTTGTCTACATATTTAATAATATGACTGTACTAAAGTAAATAATTAAATTGTACTTTTCCCCTGGATAAATAATAATCTTAGCTTGAACTATGAAACCCCACATTAAACCATTTAATAGTATTTAAGTACAGTTCTAGCTCAGAATGAATTAGGTGTAGGAAATAACACAGAAACAAAGAAAGTCAATTATTCATGATAACACAGATGTTTTCCATAATAAAAAAAATGGAAGGTCAACAGGCAATCATGACTAAAATGAAGGAACAGTTGAAACGGATGGAGTCAATAATACACCCCCAAGCCCCTCCAAACACCATTGACAAATGTTGTAAGAAGTTCATTTTATTCTAACCAACTGTCCACATTGATCAAATCATATAGACAGCTTCTTCCAACTGGAGTCATTCAATAAATATCTATAGAACTGAGCTAATATTTAACTCTCTATTTTGAGCAGCTATATCTAAACCATGAGATGACTCAGACAGCAAATAGAGGAATGAATCTGAAATTCATTTAATAGCTGATGTTCATTCTACACCTGACTAGTCATAAAGAACTTTCACTCAGCTTGCTCCATTTGACCCTAAACAGAGCTCTGGGAGGTAGCTGGGGATTGCTGTCATCCTCAAGGTAAAGAAGAAATTGAGCCTCAGAGACTTGAAAAGACTCTACCCACCTGAGGTCACTCCACTAGTGGACCCAGCTTTCTGACACCATCATCCACTCTGACTGGTCACAAAAACCGCCCTCAAGTTTCATACCCTGGGGTATGAAGTCAAGACTTTCAACTCATCAGAGCTGCATATCCATGAAGTGTGCTTAACGTTTTCAAAGTATTGCTACCAGCTCCCCTGGGGAGAACACCCTTGCCCTTTTTCCAGCTGGAAAGCACCTCCCTTAAACCACCTCTCATCCTGATTCCAGAACTTCCCACCACTTTTTGGTGAATAAAGAACAAGTCCCTTTTAGATTAACTGCTTTCTGTCCCTGATCAGGCACAGCATGGTCTTGGGTTGAGGCACAGGGTGGGGAGCAAGGTGGGCATCCCCCCCACATATGGGGAGATGACAGTCCTCTACCATGGGTTTTTAAGGCTGTGGGTTGCTGTGACCTCATGGAGGCCAGTGTCACAGAGTAGAGGTTCTACGCGAGTGATCCCAGAGGGGCTCCCCAGACTTCTGGCCTCGGAGGAGCATGCACCTCACCTCACATCTCTTCATCTGGCTCCTGCAGCCTGAACTGCTTGGCAGTGCATGACCCTGCTGTCCTGGACGGGATGGATTCTCCTCCTGAGCCACGAGCCCTGGCCACCCCTTGCTCTGCTTCTCTCCCTGGGTTCTTAGGAGACCTGCTCATTCATGTGGGTTTCTAGCCAGGGCAGATGTTAGTCTGCTCTTGTAGACACACATGAAGTTTGGATAGAAAGCCCTTGGAGAGTCACTCTCACTCTAGGCTTTGGGAAGAAGAACACAGGCGTGCAACAGCCCCCATCCGGTCCCCTTCCCTGCTGCCCTCTCCCTTATAGCTGGGTGCCTGTGCCACCTCGCCGCCCTGAGGACTGTGGGCATCTGTATTATCTCTGCACCCACTATTCATCTCTTCCCTCTGCACATCCGCACTGCCAGGTAATCTCTGAGAGTAAAAAAGATCGGAGGAAAAGCCTCCACACCAACCATCTAGTGTGCTGACTTGAAGTAGGGGTGCTTACACACTCATTTATTGTTTTCGCCTTGTTTCTAGGACTAGCAATGTGCATGGCTTAAAAAACACTCTCAATGAGTTATTTTTTTCTAATCTACCTGCCTCTCCTCTAGGTCAATTTTGTGAAACCTACTTTTAAACAACTTGACATGGTTGCACTGATTTTTATACTCTACATTTTTATACCTTTCACTGTGGATTTGAAGTGGCCCTTAGTAAGTAAACTTTTCCAATTTTTAAGGGGAAAATAATTGCATAATATGTTATCAAAGTTAGTATAATGTAAAGCACAAGTTCCAAGTTGTGTATTCAGTCTTACTCATGTGAAAAGTGATAAAGAGCTGTTAAAACTTGACAGCAGTTATTGTGTTCTAACCTTTCAGCCCCATATTCCTCACTGTATGTCAGATCCTGCTCTAAATGCTTTAGGAATGAGAACTGAGTTACATGTGTTGACTCATTCAACCCTTCTCAGGATCTGTTGGGCTAGGAGAACTTAGATGTCCATTGCACAGATGAGAAAACTGGAACCAAAGATTCACGGCTAGAAAGGTAGCAATATTTGACTCCTGGGTTTGTTACAACTCTAAGCCACTATACAATATTGTCTCTCCTTGTTTCTGGAGAGCACAAAAACAAAAGCTTACATGGATTTCTGACAGCACCAGTCATGGACTTGTCAGCATTTATTAAAGCTTTAAACTTTTACACAGGCACTGTGCAAGGGCTTCAAAAGCATTGTCATTTAACCTGAGAGTCTGCCACCCAAGAGGCAGATGTGGAAACTGCAACCCTGTTTTACAAACGTGAAAACTGCATCTCTAAGACATTAAATTCCTTAACTAAGGTCAGGACATTCTTGAGAGTGGAAGCCAGGCCACAAACCCAGGTCACACTGACACCAATCTGTGCTCTAAAACACCACACTTTGGGTTCTATTCCCAGTGATTTAAATTAAACACACTCCAAGATCCAGCCATCTGGCATTATCATTGATGTTATCAAGTTAGAGAGTGCAAACTGATACCTTCTGGGTTTTCAGCCTCCCTCTAAAGCACTGAAGGCCCCATGCTGCCTGTGCTCATACCTCTCAGAGGGGCTACACAGTGACAGACCCCTTAATCATCAAGCAATCAGCTTCCACACGGTCTACTTCACCCAACGGTGCCAGTTACCTGGCCCCAACAAGCATTTCCATTTTCAACCCTTAATCTAGAGATGCTCAGCAAATGGTTCACTACAAACTGATACAGAACATGAAATTAATTCTTGTCCATGGAGCTTGGTTTTCCTACAGTATAAAGCTAGACATTTGGAGCCAGTAAGTAAGTTCCAGTTTCCATGCTCTTTTGCCATGAGGCCAACTATACAATCCCCCATCAAGGATCTAAGATATAGAACATACTCACCAGTAGCTGCACTGACTCTGCTCTCCAGGGAAGGATCCTCTAACCTAGGGCTTCCATCAGCCCCTCCTTGTCACTCCTCATCTCAGCAGCTTCATTTCTCTGGAGCTTGACACCACGCATTCTCCGTAAAACTTCCATGCCTTCTCTTTTCCTTGAGACCTAGAGGGTAAGGACCTTCTGTGACATCACTATGATTCATGTGTTAATATGGGGAGATGTTCATCTGAAAAGAGAAACTTGACTTCCTCAGACCTCCAGATAAGAGATGGAATGTGTAGACTGAAGACAGAATAGGGAGAAGAAGTACCTAGTCTTTGCAAACAGATACAACTAGATGAGGTTAGACATACAGGCAATCTGTACATGAACTCTGGCTGTCTAAACACCATGTGGTTGTCAGAAACACATTTGAGAACAAGAAAAAGACTAATATGATTTCTCATCCTGACATATTCTGGAAACCAGCCAACAGAGATATTTTTCTGTTTTCCACACCATGAAAAATCACAGAATATTCCGACATTTTATTACTATAAATTTTAACTACTATATGTACTGCTATACATTTATATATTAATTTTTTTCTGGGTATAGAATACTTATATTCCAAATTATTAGAGGTCTAAAAGGGCTCAAAATGACTTAATCCCCCCAAATGAGTTTATTTGTTCATATAAAAGCATCCCAGCAGTTCTGCAGTTAGGTATGAGGGGATCCAGATACTCCCTTGGTGTCATCAGGAGTTAGAATCCACTCCTGGCTCTGTTTTCCTTTATTTTGGCTTCCTTCTCTGAAAGACTCTACTGCTATGGTGGCAAGATGGCCTCCCACAGCTCTAGGTGTAGCAATTCTGCCAGTTTAGCAATCTCAACAGAAAAAAAGTATCTCTCTTCCAAGAATTTGAGCAAGATGCTTAGGATTGTCTCTATTTGATCTGGCATGGTCAAGGGCCCACCCCAGAATTAGTTACTATAGCCAGACAGATGCGGTATTCTCACTGGTTGGTGTTGAATCCCCACTAGAATCAGGGGATAATGCCATCTCAATCCAAACCATAAGATCAGTATCAGAGAGATGTGATTCTCCAAATGAAAGAGATGGATTCTGTGTGTAGAAGGGCACACACAGGCCAAACCAGATGATCGCTATAGCATTCTTCACTCAGAGCTTTGGGGAGGTTCATTAATTCATTTTTGTCCTGTTCCTTTTTTCAGTATTGAGTTCCTTAGCTTCTGGGTCCAACCCACAAATAAACCAGAAAAGTAAAAATTATTGTTTTCATTGGATCTCTGCACCAAATATAATAAAACAGGAGCCAATATATCAACAAAGGAACTCTTTTCATGAGAATTTCTGGCTAGTCTTATAGACCCAATAGTGATCTCCAGGTAATATTAAGCATCAAAACATTATTCACCCAAACTCCTACATATTCATTCTGAGGCTCCCACATTGCTAGTATAGAGCCAACTCCTAATTATTGAAGTACACAGAATATGGGAAACCATGGATAAAACCCAATGTCTTGTTTTAGCCAACAGTTTCAGCCTTTTCCCCAGATAAACCTTCACCCCAGCTGCAGGGAGCAACACAGACTAATTTGACTTTCACATCTGGTAAAACTGCTCCCACACATACCTACATAGGTCACACACTCCTCACCCACATCAAACAGTCTGATTAATTCATATCAATTACTCCAAATGCAAAAGGGGAGGATTTTATCATCTTGGCAGAAAGATTCAATTAAATGAAGTCTCAAAAAGCCAATGATTAAAATTGAGTACAAAAGTTGACGTTTTACACTGAATTTCTTCCTGCCTTACTCCCATCTCCAGGTTAGCCAAAGCTCCCAACCATCATCCCTACCATCCCCCTAATATAAAATATGTTCATGTTCATCTATTCTTTATTGTTCTGTAACTACCTAAGCACAAAGGGATTGCCCGGGAGAGACTGTGAATGAGAAACGGAAAAGGTTGAAGAAAGAACTTTGAAGACAGAGGATGTAAAGAAGCCAATTGAGGAAAATAAGGAATTGTCGATGAAGCTGGGGGGAAACATGGAGGAGGAAGGATTACCATGGAGGCCAACTTAGAAGGAGCTGTCCAGAAGTGTCCCACTGAGCAGTCAGTTTTATTTCATATTAGACTCTTCTCACCCCATTCACTCGTATGCCAAAGAACCTCCTTTTGTTCACTGGAAGCTTTCTCCATGCTCTCCTTTGGAAATCTTCATGCAGGATGCATTTTGCACCCAATTTGATTGTGAAGTGACTCTTCAGCCTTGACAGAGGTTGATGCTGCTGCCACCTCACCTGCCAACAGTGATTCAGGCCTCCTCAGTGCCAGGGACAATGTCAAACATTGGGCCTGAATTTTCTGGTTCCATCCTCATAATGTTCTAAAGAATGGGATACTTCTGTCATTCCCATTTTTCTGGATAATAAAATATAGCTTAAAGTAATAATGTAATTTGCCCATCAGGAGCCCATCAGTAAGTTATAGAGCAGGAACATGCCACAAATGTAGGGGGAAAAGAAGAAGTCTAGAAAATCCACACACTGCCTAATCAATTGTTCCATGATCAAACCATGTTTATATTTTTAAGTAAACCTATGGTTCTCTTTTTAGAATGTCTACTAAGCAAACATAAAATATGTATAGACTGTATTCTTTCATATGTCATGTCAAAATATTAGAAACAATAAAACTATAGAAATAATTTTTCAGGATAAACACATTCAGGAGCTCCAAAAATATATTTGGCTTTTTTCTAGGAGCAGATATCCCTCTTCTAACTGAGAGCAGACCCTATACCGATGAGTTGCTACTGGTGGTTTAGGCTTAAATTTGAATTTACCAGAACAAATCATAAAAACATTCATTGCAATTAGAGCACTCAAAGCTAACGTACATTGGTTCATATAGGAAGTAGGCTCAGGAGATTGGAGTTGGGATTTCATGTACTGAACAGCTATAGGATTCAGGACATGCCTCAACTTTCACAGGTTACAAAAGAAAACAATGCACATGCGTGGACTATTGTAAAGGTTAAATACGATGGTAAACAGGAAAAGATGCTTGGCATCTAGCACAAGTTCCAAAAGGAAACAAGTCAAAAGTTTAAATACACCTATTCTTTGATCCAGAAATCTGACTTCTTGGAGATTAACTCTTCAAAAAGAAAATTGCAAAGGCATGAACATGTTTTTACAAAGATGTTTATTAAGCACTGAAATAACAAAGGAGAAAAAATTGAAATGGCTGATGATTGGTTCATCCATGGCCCAGTGGCTGCAAATGTGGGCAATGAAGCCAAGTTGTGTGGATGACAGTCACATTGCCTCCTTACTAATGTTGTAAGCTGCTGGGCAAATTACTTACCCTCTCAAGTTTTCAATCCTTTACCCCTTTAAAGTGGGAGTGATCAAATTGATTACCTCATAGAGTGTTGTGGGGATTCAAATGAGTTAATATGTACTTAAAAGAATAAATACCACCTAATATACTTTGTTTAATGTCAACTATATTGTCCATTTAAAAAAGAAAGCATTCTAGGTAATGATACGGGAAATCTAAGTAAAATACAGCAAATTGCATCCCATTTTGTTTAAGAAAGCAGGCATACATATAATTGCACTGTTAAGGAAAGAAGTGGGAGAAACATAATCCTTTTTTTTTTTTACAGTGTTACCTCTGGGGCACAGCTTGAGAAGGGCAGAAGAAGACACTTTTATATAATCCATCTAAGTAATGGAATTATGACTATTTTTCTCTCATCTTTAAACATATTTCAAGAAATAAAAACACCAAGTGGTACTTGAATGTGATGCTCCATTAGAGAGGGACTTCTGCCTTTCCAAGGAATGCTGGCAAAACTTCCTAAATTTCTAGGAATCCTTCAAAACATATGCCAAGGCTCCTGGTCCCTTAAAGGGTCTGAACAGATGAAAGAAGGACCCAAGAGGAGCTTTTCAGCATTTCACAAAGCCTGGGAGAAATCATGCATTTGTTGTAACATGGCTGCTTAACACAACTAAACAGCGTGGATCTCTGCTGGAGGCCGGAATCACATTAATTCTATGTGATAACACTGATTACCTTAGGCTGATGAGACATTCAGAGAGGTAGTTTTATTTTTTACAGATTATGATTAATTAATTTTCAAGAGAGAAAAGAACCTTTGGCTTAATGAATGCCATTAGTCCCACAAAGGCTTTCAAATCAAAATACAGTAGATTAAAAGACTGAAAACCCACACAAGACAAACCTGTGTGTAGCCCTACCATTTTTAAGTAATGTTTTTTAAAATGTTTCCTTTATCAGAGCAAATGAGAACAGTCCCTCTTGGCTGTTCCTGCATGATATTAAAAAAATGTTAAAGCCTTCAAGTCAGGTAGCAGTTTTTGCCAATTAACAATTTGATGGTCTCAGGTCCAAGGTAACCTTGCCGTAATCTCTGATTTATTTGCATCAGGCAGGGGGCAGTAAATAAGGCACTCCAGCCAGGCTGACAGCTCTGTCCATCTCCCATGAGGTACTTCTGGCCCCTCTGCGAGGTTTTGTGGCTTCAGCCGCTGCCAGTTAGGCCCGCATGTCTGTCGGTTTAGTCATGGCCTGAGAGCAGCTCTTCCAGGAAAAGGCTATTGTTCCTGCATTTCCTGATGGCTTACTTCCTGTCGTTTTTTTCAACAGGGAAAGAGCAAAGACCATTCTAAAATCACAGCGAATTCTGCTCAATTTCATATTTGTAGTTTATAGTATTACAATCATTTCTTGACTTAGGGGCACGCTAAGTGCAACCATGACCTGCACAGACAAGTCAGTATGTCCCTGGGCAGAGGGCAGTTTCCATGAATCCCCGGTATGAGTGTCACCTTGTTTTCATGGGCAACTCCATGTGGCTTCCAATTTACTTTGCTCCGAGACATCAAAGATAGCTTGCAAGAGTCTCCCCCTTATCAATAGAAAGATACACAGATACAGGGAGGATCAGCACCTGACCTCACTGGAGAGAAGGTGGTGGCACATGAAGATGTGAAACTCCTTCTGCTCCTGCCCCTCCCCCACCTCAAACAAAGACAGTAACTAAGTCAGACAAATGCAGAAAGGACTGAGTCACTAGGAGGACAAAAATGAAGAGGCAGGAGCATAGGAAACCAAGAAATTGGGTTTGAGCTTCACACACACACACACACACACACACACACACAAACGGGCTTGTTGTGCCAGTTACTATGAAAAGTATTTATATACACTATCTTAATTAATTTGACAACCTCGCCCCCAACAGTCAGAAGGGTATTCTTATTCTCCCCATTTCTGCACATCAATACACTTGTCCAAATATACCTGACTAGTAGTTTATTCAAGTCTGACAAGTCACAGCATCAGCTCCTCCATGTGCTACCTGTGTGCTTTCTGTGAGTCACTTAACCACACTGAGCCTCAGAGTCCTCATCTGTAAAATGGGAATAATATAACCCATAAAATCTGCTCATATTGTGTGAGAATTAAATGAATTTCTGTATATAAATATTTTATATATTTTACCACACACAAAAGTTCATTTCTCCTCTTTTCCTCAACTTTGGTTTGCTTCTGGGCAAAATGCTTGTATCACTAGGTTATTGTAAGATTAGAGTAAGAAGACATATGAAAATACTTTGCTACATAAAATTTATAATTATAAATTCTCAGGGGGCCTCCCTGGTGATGCACGAGGTTAAGATGCAGCACTATGAAGTTATTCGCAGCCACTGCAGCATGAGTTCGATTCCTGGCCAAGGAGGTGACCCACATGGCGCAACAGACCTCTCCTGGCTCACCCGCTGCTCCCCTTAGCAGTGTATTTTGGTCAATCCACCTGTTCTGTTCCCCACTCTGTCTCTGGGGAGTCCTCTCACCACCACCCCCTCACCTCTAACCTGTACCCCAGTTCTTGTATGCATAAATAAATAAATCTTAAAAAAATTATTACTCTCAGGTTTATTTTATTTTAAACAAAGATCTGTGACCAAGCTGTCTACTCTAATCCTAGAGTTTACCAGTTATCAGACTGGTAATGATAAAAATGATTGCTACCATATTGTGTTGAGGGAATTAAGGCAAATGAGCATGTTCGTGCAATGTGCATGTACCTCAGTATGTTTGTTGTATGTAAAATGATGTAAAATGTCACATACTTAAGGAGATCAACCTCATGGTGTTTGTCAAAATCAAAAACACAAACAACTGTTCCCTGATCTAGTTTTTCCAGCTACATAAACATGAATTATAAAAGGCTGATTTGATATCATTATCTGTAAAAAGTTGGGGGTGGGGGGGTGCATCTGGAAGCAACCATCAAAAATCCACCAAAAGGGACTGGTTGTATATATAGAGTTTTACACAACAACATGCCATGAATAACTTTTCAGAAATCACTTAATGTAGTGATGTGAAACAATTCTCAAAACATCTAAGTGGAAAAAGGAAGCTGCAGAAAAAATGTTTATATTATGCTACATACACAGCTGTGCATTCACACACACACACACGTAGGTATGTATTTATTGCTGTATAGACCAGCACTGTCCAATAGACACACACATTGCAAGCTGCAAATGTGAGCCACATTTGTCATTTTTTAATTTTTTTAGCAGCTGCTAAAAAAGTAAAAAGTAACAGCTGATATACTTACTATCCAGAATATTGTCACTTCAATGAACAATCAATACAAAAGTTATTGATAATATATTTTTACATGCTTCTTTCATAAGGATTTGGAAGATGCTGCATGTTTTACACTTAAATCTCTTCTCAGTTCAGATGAGCTGCATTCTGTGTGCTCAGTGCGGCCACACACATCAGCACACACAATGTCACTACCTGACTGGACACAACAGGCACTGCTCTCTCCACAGAAACTGATAACAACAGTTTCCCCTGCAAAGAATAACCTCTCTGGGAATGAGGTAAGAATTACAATTCATTCCATACCTTTTTGGGCTTTCTTAATCTTTTTTTCTTGTACATGTATTACCAAACAAATGATATAACTTTTATGACAACTCTTTCCAGGAAGTTCTTATTCACTCTGCATACAAATAGGGAAAGGGTGATTCATACAATGTGAAGACAATTATCGATAACAAATGACTCCTATTTCTTGTCAGTTTTAGCAATTTTTTTCAAGATTTATTTATTTATGCATACAAGAGTTGGGGTATAGGCCAGAAGTGCTGGGGGTACAAAGATTCACCAGAGACAGAGTGGGGAACAGTAACAGACAGATCCATTGAAATACTGAGGGGAGCAGTGGGCACAACAGGAGAGGTCTGCTGCGCCATGTGGGTCACCTCCCTGGCCAGGGATCAAACTCGCCCTGCAGTAGCTGCAGACTGCTTCATAGTTCTGACACTTAACCCCTTGTGCCACCAGGGATGCCCCAGTTTTAGTAATTTAAAGACTCTGTCTCAGAGAAGAGAACAAAAGCCATGGTTTGCCACTGAGAGAGTAAAGTCTGTCTGGAGTCAGTTTACTCCTAAACAGTGGGAATGAGTCAAATTAGAAATCATGTTTTGTAACTAACTTATAGCTGAGTAAGTGGAATAGACATGGGGCCACTGGCATGGGACCACTCACAGTCTCACCATGAGCTCCATGACAGGACACAGAGCAGGAAATTGTGGGGCACAGGAAGGCAAGGCTCGGAAGGAGGCAACAGGAAGGACAGGTGAAGAAAGATGAGGTTTCCATAAACAGGAAATGGCCATATGGCCTGTTTGCCTCTTAAATATTAAGTGGAGACAAGTGGAGAGCCCAGCTCCCAACCAGGAGGAGAGCCTACCTTCTCCCTTTCAGCTCAATCTGGGTAAATACTCAACTGTTCTGAAGTGAGGTAAATGATCTTCTGATAATTCTCTCACTGGGAGCAAGACATTGTCCTTGGGGTAGATTAGTTGGCTGTAGAGAAGGGGACATGGCATATGCCAGGGAGACGATTTCACAGAAGTCAGAGGATATATGATGAAGGGCAGCAGTAGTCAAAAAAAAAAAAAAAAGGATTGCATACAAAGAGTTAGCCACGACTTTTATCAAATCAATGATCATATCTTATACTTGAGGGTTATAAATCAGGGCAGTGGGGAAGTAAATTACAAGAAAATAAGATACTATAAATCCATTCTTAAATATTATTTATTCACACACATATATACCTACACTAGGAGGCGATTAGGAGGATATTTATCAAAGTAAAAGAGGAAGTGGTGTTTCTACAGTTGTTAGTTCTTTTTTCCTCTTAGCTCATCTGCATTTTCCAGATTTTCAACAATAAGCACATATGCAGTAGCAAGAGAGGGACAGGGAATAGTGTCACCAATGTACCTCGAAACAACTGGATATGCAGAAAGAAGTAGTTTTCTTATCTAATCTTTCTTCTTTGCAATACCCACTTGTGGGAGGGTAAACATTAACATTTCAGCCACTGAAAACTTTCAGTCAACATAAGTTCAATATAATACATTAAATAATCCCTCTAGAATATGTACTGTCCAGGATGGTAGCCCTTAGCTTTGTAGTTTTCCCTCGCACATTTCCCCCACAGCTATACCACTTGATATCTTTTTCAATTCTTTCAAATCACTTTCAAAAAATATATGTAAAGTTTTATTTTCACAGCCCTTTATCAGAAATATTATTCCTAGATAGTCTTGGTGATAAAATAATTTTAATGATTTTTATCTCAGAGGTATTTTGTGATTTGAAAAATTCTAAAAGCAGAGGTATAAGGAGATCAAGTCTCAAAGAGAATAT